CACCATACTTCACGATCCCAAATGTCGATTGGACTACCCACTTGCTCTAATCAGGCTCCACCATGCAGATTTTTAGCCTCGATTACTCCTCCAAAAACTCTTCCTATAAATACAAGGCTCAAGTTACATTCATAGGGTTCAAACACCAAACAAAAGCCTCCCACGGAGCAAATTATATTTTCCTGTAATGCACTTTCAATATCTTTACTTGCTTTCCTAAGAGTAGTGTTAGTTTGTAAGGAAAATCCATTCATCAATATATCATACGACCCTTGATTTTCAAGGCGCCGGAGCACCATCTCTGTTACTCATTCATTCACCCCATATATCATACGACCGTCGCTCACTGAGCAGCGCGCCGGAGCACCGCCCAAAACTCACCATCATCACCACCCCTAAAAGGCCTTGTAGCTCAGGCCGTGAACCTAACAGCCGAGATCAGTTCCTCTCTCGGCTATAATCGTTTGATTAGAAGATGAGTTCAAACAGGCGCACCACTCGACCATTCTATCCACATCAACATCTCGACGCGCGGTAGACCGTGCTGGCACGCCCGCGCACAACCGCACCGCATCCAAAAGCAGGAAGTCACGTGTTAACGCACATCCCCTCGGCCCGGAACTCCAGGCCGTGAGATTTACGTAGCCGACATGTGTCCTTTTTTATATATTAAAAAATAGTATAGCCGCGCGGCTATACCCAGTTTTTAAATATTTTTTAAAAAAGCATAGCCGCACGGCTGTACTATTTTACACGTGAGCGCCAAGGCGCTGTGCGTCTGTGTTTTTTTTATAGCAAATAGTGTAGCCGTTTGGCTATATTCGATTTGTTCCTTTTTTTTAATTATAAAATAGTACAGCCGGGCGGCTTTACGTTTTTAAAAAAATTGTCTTTAATAAATAGTATAGACGAGTGGCTATAATCTTTTACATATATATACATATATATGTACGTACATATTTTTCAATAATACATTCGTGTTCTATACACGTCTCACGTGTTTTAAAAAGCAAACATACAATAGGTCTTTTACACATATATGTACGTACATATTTTTCAATAATACATTCGTGTTCTATACACGTCTCACGTGTTTTAAAAAGCAAACATACAATAGTCATATTGTATATGTACGTATGTATTTCTAATATTTTATACACGTATTTTTTTTAAAATTTTCAGTAAGACACATAGAATTCAGGTATTATACAAATAATTCTCACATATTGTTGAATAAGAATAACGTATTTTATAAAAATTATATTAAAATATCATATAGTGGAAAATTAGTATCCACTTTGGATATGTTGAAACTAGAAAATTAATATCTATAAGGTACAAACTAATGCAACTAGGAGGGTCCTTTTTTATTATTATCATTTTTATTAAATAGTATAGCCGGGCGGCTATACTTTTTCTTGACACGTGGCACCTAATCGATTGAGTGGTCTTCTTTAAAAATAAAAATAAAAATATCAAGTCGCTCGGGCTATAGCCCATGTTAGCATGGACGTAGGTCTATCCCTGCCTACAAAGGTGTCCCTCAAATAAGCTAATTTGAGGGATCTCTCAATGGAAGCTCTCTGCACATATATATAGGGTAATTTGCATAAATACCACACTTTTAGGTATGTGCGTCATTACCACATGAACTTTTAATTTTTATTTTTAACCACCTGAACTTTGTAAAGTGTTGTAATCCAACACCTATATCTAACTCCGTTAAAATTTCCATTAAATTTAAGGGTATTTCCGTCAATTAATTGTAACTAAAAAGAATTATAAAGAAACATAATTTAAAAAATAAAATTAACCTAATTATACGCATTACCCTAAACTCTTCCCCCCACCACACCCGACCATAAACACTCTGCTTTTGTCTCTTGGATTATCAAACCCCTTCTTCTCAAACCTTGAGATTATCTCTCCCACAAGGCCACGCTGAACTCCATCAGGTTTCACCATTTTGTATGTCTCATCAACTTGTTCCAATGAAGTAGCCAAGTGGTGGGGAAGAAAGTTGCGAGGTTTGGGGAGGGTTTTAGCATGAGGACGAGATGGGAAATATGAGAAAACGGTTATTCTTGTGGTGGGCGTAAGATAAGCTGCAAATTCTCTTAGCTGCTGAGCGTTGAAGGGTGAGGAAACACATGGACTTGCTCCGCCAAATACTGCCAGAGTCTCCATTCTGTCTCTGCTTCTAATATCCCTTCTTTTTTATTTTTAAAATTATGTTTTTTAGTGAACTGACAAAAATGCCCTTCCACTTAACGGAAATTTTAACGGAATTAGACGTAGGTGGTGGATTGCAACACTCCACAAAGTTCAGGTGGTTAAAAATAAAAAATAAAAGTTTAGGTGGTAATTGCGTACATGCCTAAAAGTTCAGGTGGTATTTATGCAAATTCATATGGAATATATATATATATATATGTGTGTGTGTGTGTGTGTGTTTTTATATGGCCTTTTATTAATATTTGTTGTCGCCCTAGGCCTTGAAAAACTTAGGACCAGCTTTCCCTTCAGTCTAGTCTAATAAGAAGTTGTGGAAGAGGGCTTGGAACTTTTGCATTTCCTGAGGAGGAAGACGCACCAAAAAGTTAACATCGGTACCAAAATATTTGTTGCACGGAGGATCTTGAAGTCAAGCTCTTCTTGGACGGCTTCACACCATCCAGGGTTTAAGTTTTGGCCGCCTACCTCATGCTCATGCTCTTGCTGGGCGGGAATAATCTTGAGCTCGAGTAAATCAGGGTGGGGGAAGGTGACATGTGGTGGGGATTGAGCGGCTATGATGCGGCTGTCATTGTAAAGGACCACAGCCAGGGGCTTGTTAGTAGCCAGGGCAGCCAGATTGTCCAAGAACAGTCTGAAGCTTAGACCATCAAATGTTACATGGCTATTTGATATGCCCATTGCAAATCCACCACATTTGAATGTTGTCACCTGTTCAATTAATAAATAATTAACTAATTTCCAGCCTTTTCTGAAGATTAATTAATAGTCCAAAATTTTTATTTTATTTTATTGAAGGGAAAAAAAAAAGTGTAGTTAGGTAGGACCTGGAGAATGAAAAGTAGCTGATCGTGGTGATCATCAGCAGCAGGTTCCATGGTGGTGCAAACTAGTTTTGCAAAAGCTGGATTAGGATAAGCCAAGTCTCCAATCTCATCTAATGCATGCTCGCTAGAGGCCACCACAAAGCCTACCCCAGCTGCCAGCTGCATTGCAGTCGATCTCTAAGCGACCTGTGTTGTTGTTGTTGGGGTTCGTGAATTTCAATCTTCCAGCCAAGAAATCATAGGGCACTAGTATATGGCTAGTGTGTCTTTCATTTTCTCAGTTACGTACAATTTTGGGATCGAGAAAATCTTTGTGGACTGCAAAAAAATGCACCGTTTGGACGTGGAAATTGAGATATTGGTCTATGTTTGATAGGAAGATGGTTTTTTTCTCTGTTTCTTGGGATGGGAAAACCAGAGATGAGTGGTGGACGGTGACCTTGAGGTCTTGGAGGAGACTGAGAGGAGGGCTTCCTTCATCACGATTTTCATGGACTGTTCCCATGTTTCACTTAATTTGGCTTTTGAGGGATGTTATCTATATATAGAATATCTATGTTTACCCTTTTTATGAGAGTAAAAATGGATAGATAGAATTATCGTTGTTTTTTTAGTACAAGTGATAATCTAAACTACAAGGGAAGGGGTTTCTCACACTTACGCACACAATTAAGATGCCATAGGGGTTCGAACATGAGACCTCTAGTCTGCAAGTCAAGGCTCTTTTTCATTGACAATTATTGTTGTTTTTTTTTTTTAATTAAGAGAGGTATTCGAATAATTTATTTTAGATTCCCTTGTAAAAGACATTCATGCAAAATATTAGTAAAGCCGAGAAATTATTTGACCACTTAATTATTATTATTTTAATATTTAAGAGGTCTAGATAACTGAATAAATAAAAAATAAAAAAATAAAAAAATTCCATGCAAAATACTTGTACAAAAAATTAAGGCCAAAAGTCACTTTTGGGTCCCTGAAGTTTGGCACTTCAATCACTTTTGACCTTGTAGTTTCAATTTCGTCAATTTTGCCATTGTAGTTTCGTATTTGTAGCAATTCAAGGACATGTTAGTATTCTTGTCAATTTCTTTAACGATGTAAGGGGCAATTTCTTCATCTCAAAACCATTGAGAGTAAAAGTTTGTTGAAATTCTCCCTATTTCATATTAGGGCTTGAAATTCAATCACTAATCCCAATTTTTGAAGAACCCTAAACCCAAATGACCAATTTCAAGTCCTAATATGAAATTATGGGAGTTTCAGACGAGCTTTTATGCTCAAGGATTTTGGGTTGACGAAATTGCCCCTTACACCGTTAAAGAAATTGATAGGAATACTAACTTGTCCTTGAATTGCTACAAATACGAAACTATAAGGTAAAAATTGGCGGAATTGAAACTACATGGTCAAAAGTGGTGGAAGTGCCAAACTACAGGGACCAAAAGTGACTTTTAGCCAAAAACTAACCAAATCGAAAATTATTTAGTTGTCTAACAATAAAGGTTGCTTCTTAATTGAAATGTAACACCCCGACCCTAAATTATTTAGCCACCAAATTATTTAATTTATTTAAATATGAATTTCCTATTTTGCCCTCGGGGTAGGGGCAAAATGGTCATTTTAATTCAGAAGGATTTTGGGACAGTGGCAGGTATTTTTATGTAGGTCGTACTGAGACGAGTCCGTAAACATGCGGTGGGCTCGATTCGGAGTTGTAACGAAAAAGATATGGTTAAAATACCCCCAGTGGCAAAATCGTAAATAAATAGAATGGAATTTTAATAAAATCTCAGAATTTCTCTCTCTCTCTCGCTCTTCCTGCGCGCAGAAAACCCCCCTCCCCTGTTGCTGTTACTATTCATTCGGAGGGTTTTTGGGCCACCACCGTCACATCTGGCCACCATTTTGGGTGACACCGGTACCAAAAGAACCAGCGTGACGTCGCCTACCCATCCCGACCCTTCTCAGCCGCCACCGCCGCTTGTGCTCGCCGGAATATCGAGAAAAGTCGCCGGTTTTACCCAAAATTTCACGGAGCTCGTTCGGGTGATTCCGGCAACCAAATCTTGCGATCAAGGTATGCTTTTTCACCTATTTTTCATACTCTAGCTGATGGTTGGGTAGGAATTGTGAAATTTCTGCGTTATGGTAGTTAATTAAGCTATTGAAAAATCTGCCGGTTTCGACCTCCGTTTTCAGCCACTTCCGGCTACTTTTGGAGTTGTAACGAAAAAGATATGGTTAAAATACCCCCAGTGGCAAAATCGTAAATAAATAGAATTGAATTTTAATAAAATCTCAGAATTTCTCTCTCTCTCTCTCTCGCTCTCCCTGCGAGCAGAAAACCCCCCTCCCCTGTTGCTGTTACTATTCATTCGGAGGGTTTTTGGGCCACCACCGTCACATCTGGCCACCATTTTGGGTGACACCGGTACCAAAAGAACCAGCGTGACGTCGCCTACCCATCCCGACCCTTCTCAGCCGCCACCGCCGCTTGTGCTCGCCGGAATATCGAGAAAAGTCGCCGGTTTTACCCAAAACTTCACGGAGCTCGTTCGGGTGATTCCGGCAACCAAATCTTGCGATCAAGGTATGCTTTTCCACCTATTTTTCATGCTCTAGCTGATGGTTGGGTAGGAATTGTGAAATTTCTGCGTTATGGTAGTTAATTAAGCTATTGAAAAATCTGCCGGTTTTGACCTCCGTTTTCAGCCACTTCCGTCGAATTTTTGGGGTATCTCCAAGAACAAAAGTGACTCCAAATTAGGTGTATTACCTAGGGTAGGAGTCTTGGCCTGAGATTCTAAGATTTTCCGGCGATGTGATATCGCTTTGGACACCCACGCGCTGCCAGTGCGTGTGGCGGCGCGTGGGCACTGTATTAGAGGGTAATTTTGTCCAAATGCAATCCCCTGGTTGTCACGAGCGCGTAGGATTTTACGGATCTCAATTCGGATAACGTTTGAACCCCGAATGGATTTTACATATCGTGTGTTATCCGGGTTCAATATGTTAGAACCGTCGGATCGTTTCCCAATTAAGATATGTTGATCTAGGCATTCCTAGGATCGTGTAGGATTTTACGGATCTTGAATCGGACCCCCGGATGTTCCGATTCATCAACTTAAAGTCGTGTTTTTCAATAACCGTCTGATCGTGCGACCGTGAGCGATCCAACCGTCTGATCTGGACTAAACCTCCAAGACGTGTATCCTAGACCTTGTGGAACCCATAGGAACTTTCGGATTGTAAACCGGAGGTCGTGGGCCCCGCGGGCCCAGTTGACCAAATTTGTAAGGTTTGATTCTCGGTTGGCCATGAGTCTTCCGAGGTGGTTTTATCCTTCGAAAAGTATTAGGATAACCTTGCAAGCGAGCCTAGGGTCTCGGCTTGAATTTTAGTAGTTAAATGGACATTTGTCCTCAGGAGCATAGTTTCCTATTTATATTGTTTTAGGATCTTTATGTAATTTATGCTCGTGTGAATGATCATTGGTTTAGAATATTATTTTTCTTATTGATTAAATTATCATGAAATCTATTAGGGATTTATATGATCATGGAGTGAATATTTATATATATATATATAAGCAGATTGTCAATATGTGAGTAATCCTATTATTGTTAATATTCGAGTGTTTTGAGTTTACATATAATAATTGAGAAAGTGCTATCGTTGTTGATTTTGTGTGGGGTACTTAGAATGTTAATTTGAATGCTATTAGCACTACCTTAGGTACCTCCCTGGTTATGGGTTTTATGTTTGAGATTTATTTTTTCAAGGCCCGTCGGAGTTTGTCCAGGCCCTTCGGAGATTTATTTTGAGATTTATTTTGCCCAGGCCCGTCGGAGTTTGTCCAGGCCCTTCGGAGATTTATATTTGAGGTTTATTTTGCCCAGGCCCGTCGGAGTTTGTCCAGGCCCTTCGGAGATTTATTTTGAGATTTATTTTGCCCAGGCCCGTCGGAGTTTGCCCAGGCCCTTCGAAGATACATTTATTTTGCCCAGGCCCGTCGGAGTTTGCCCAGGCCCTTCGGAGATTTATTTTGCCCAGGCCCGTCGGAGTTTGTCCAAGCCT